GGAACTAGGAAGGAGGGAGAGGATGAGATCCAGGCCATATTCATTCAAATAACCAAGAAACGACACAAGTTCGTCACAACATAACAGATTTTAATTACATGGGATTTTTCACATTATTGGAAATAATTATCAATGTGATTAGTGATTTAGATTTTCTATTGCTCATTTGCACCAAAAGATTAAAAAATAAAAAACACACACATTTTTGTTCAACTTTCAATTGTTAAATACCATACAGAATAGTTTTCAAATATAGTTACTGTAACTAGATTAGTGTTCGTGCGATGCACGATAGTAATAAAGTTTTTTTATAATTAATTTGTGATATAATATAAAAATAAGGCAACTCATATGAAATAAACAAATGCAATGTGTATAAGAAAAATGAAATAATTAGGCCAAAATTAGGAGTACAATTAAAATTGAGAAAAAAATTATTGTTGATTAGTTGCGTTTAAAATATTTAAAAGTGGTATACATTATACTCTGTATTACATTAATGATGCATGTTTTCCAATAAAACTATACAACGTAATTCCAAAAAATAAGATAAGTAGAATAACAAAAAAAAAAAAAAACTACTCCATAATAATAAAAGATGATATCATATATTCGTTGGGAAATTACTTAATGATAGCTTGACATGTGTCAAAATAATGTTAGCATGTTTTGTTTTACTATTAGTTGATAGATTAGTATTTTCAATAAAGGTAGCAAACTAGCAACGTTGTACTTGTGAGTTGTGAATCTTGTGATTATTCCAACTTGTACGTTGTTTCAACACAACTTTTTTTTTTCACTACCCCACATACACATATATATATTTTGGAAAATACTACTGTTCGTACCAAATACGAAGTAAGAGTGGCAACATAGTCATGTACTTGTGTTACTCGTGTACTGGTGCTGTTAATTAGCTGCAATATGCTCATAATTTCCCATTGGTATGATTTTATGAACGCCTATTTTGTATAGTAGAGTTGATATGTTATTTTATTGTTTTTTTTAGCTGTTATTATTTTCTTGTGTGTATTAACTTAGGCTATTTGATCTAAATGAAAATGTTGTTGGAGTTTTTGCAATTCTAGTAATGCAAATCGGAGTTTTACCAAGTGAGTGTGCAAGGAGCTAACGAGAGAAAGATGTAGCATGCAAGTTGGTGAGCCGTACAAGACTGAGCTAGCAAGAGAGCTAGAGCTCGGATGCCCGCAATGGCCTGCAGCAGGTCCGAGCAAGAGCTCGCCTACGTGTGAGCTATAGCTCGCTGCTGGGAATGCCTTGCGGCAGTTTCGAGTGAGAGTTCGCCAGCGAGGGAGCTATAGCTCGCTGCTAGCAGAGTCTTGCGGCATTTCGAGCGAGATCTCCCCAGCGAGTTCGCAGTTCATGAAGCCTACGGCAAGGCTGAGCGATAGCTCGTCAGCCCAGCCGTGGGTATGGGCCTTGCGTGAGGCTTGTGCTGCTTATTTCCTTTTCTTATTACTCCTATAAATACTACTCCTGGTCTATTTTTTCGAGGATACGTTATTTTCATTGTTGAAATACCTTAGACACTCAAACACAAACCTACCCTTTGAGATCTGAACAGTTCTTGAGTAATTCCACTATTCGAGTTCGGGTGCACGAATTACGAGGAGAGTTGCGTTAAACTTAGGGGGTGTGCGTCACTAGGAAACTTGTACCGGTGGTGGCGTATTTCGCTTCTAAGGTAGTGGATTCTGTTCTGCGGGGCGACTGTGAGTTTGATATCATCAATCCAGGAAAGTACTAAATGTTTATTTATTATTGATTTCAATAGTTATTTTACCAACAAATGTTAAATTTACATGCCTAGACCCAAATACTGAAATCGGATCAAGCAAAGCTCATAGTGGATACTTGCTTAGATATGTATTTTGTAGGAATAAAGGGAGGAAAAAGAGTTATTGCATTGAGCATCCGCCCGATTGGGCTAGCTTTGCTCGATTGGGCGCTAGAAAGAATAACGGATATGCTGGAATTCTAGCCGCCCGGTCGAGTGGCACTCGGCCCAGTCGGGCGTAAGTGAAAGTCTGGAAACAAACCTGGCCTTCTCTCGCCTGATCGGGCGAGTTATGCCCGGTTAGGCGCGAGGAGCTTCGAAATTTGTCACTTTCTTCTTTGGATGCTCGCCCGGTCGAGCTTTGTCTGCTCGATTGGGCACGTGGTATGCCGTTGGATTCCAACGGGCTTCTTCCCTTGGATTATTCCTTGATCTCTTGATGATCCTTTGTAACCCCCCATTAAAGAAGATGTTATGGTGATTAAATCATATTCTTTATTCTTATTTAATCACCCTTTTGATGTCTAAATTCATTCTTTCCATCTTACATTCTTGGTTATAAATAGCTTGTTCATTTTCTGAATTACATACACTTGAACATAACCTTCAAACACAAGCTTAAACACATACTCTATATTGGGCATAAGTTACTTGGCTCTAACCTTCCACCCAAAAGTGTCTTTGTGTAGAAGTGGTGTGTTAACCTTAGGGAACGTGCCGACGAATACAATTGTGCACCCCGCTTGCGCCGGAATTTCGTTTCAAGTCAGTGAATTTGCTTCACGACGCACCGTACTCTTTCCATTGTTATAAGATCAACTTTTCGATCTTATTGTTTACTTCTTATTGTAGCCTTAAAATATTTCTTATAATGCAACATATTTGACTATATAGCTAATACAAGTACTCGTAAAAAATAAACCAAGAAGACAAATACTTCCTCCGTTTTTTCTTTATTTGCAACAATTTTCCTTTTACACTATTTATATACTTCACTTTGACTGACTTTGATGATTTATAGCTAAATAAAGTATAATCATTTGACATCTTCACTACTACAAAAAAGGCCAAAGAAACCTGTAATAAGACACCTGTTGGTAAATACAGTAGGTCTCTTTGACATAAGAGACCTAATATTAGTGATAACAGGTCTCTAAAATGTTAAAGGGCCCACCACTTTTGTTGCGGGATATAGAGGGAGGGAATTAAGAGACCTATTGTTAAACTCAACGAGTCTCTTATGTGTGTTAGGGCCCACCATGACCCTCACCTTCAGTGGCTGAGCTACTTGTCCCCCATTTTCAAAAAAAAAATTAAAAAAAAACAAAAGAAAAAACACTAAGAGCCTAAGACAGAAAGAAGAAAACAAAAACCAAACCCTAACTTTTCAATTTTCAGTTTCTCTCTCTTCGAAGGCGGAAGGTCTCCAGGTCGCCATTGATTCGCCGTCGCCGTTCGCCGTGCGTGGGGTTTCAGGCGAAAACTCGGCCAGACGCTGCTTCCACTGGCTGCTTCGCAAATCTCAAATCTTAAGTTGACAAGTTCGCACTTCGCAAATCTCCAGTTCGCTGTTCGCACTTCGCAAATTCAATTGGCCAATTCACCCAAATCAATTAATCAATGGAGGTATGTATTATGTAAATCTGAATTTCATTACTTATTTAATTGTTTTATAGTTTATACTTTTATTGTGAATTTGTAATTTGTGGGTATTGAATTGATTAATGACTATTGAAGTTTTGAATTTAGAACTGAGTCCACCGCTCTCGCTCGTCGGCTCCACTCCCGGCACTCCGTCCCTTCGTCTGTCGAGTCGCCGTCGTCGCTGCTTCCTGATTCACTGCTTCGTCCGTTCGTCGGCTCGTCGCTGGACTCGCTGCTCTCCATTCGACTTCACTCACTTCACTAAATCGCTAGACCCAATTCACGGTATGTAAATTTGAATTTAGTCTCTGAATTATTAGTTTATTAATTGTTTAATTGTTTTACAATTATACTTTTATTCAATTATTCTGGGCATTGAAGATTTGAAGTATTGAAGTATTGAAATTTTGAAATGTGTTAGTTTATTGTCTTATTGAAATCTCTGAATATTGAAATTTGTTGGTTAATTGGTTTATTACTTGTTTTTTCTTCTGTTTTTGTGAATTTATTGAAATAATGAAATGTACAGTTAATTTTGTGAACTTTTGATTGCATTTTTTTCTCCTATTTTTGTGAATTTTTTGAAATGTATAGTTGAACTAGAAATGTAATGTGGTATTGTTCATTTTGAAATCTGTGTATCGAAATGCTTTTATGCAGGAATAGGAAGAGATGTTTTGTTGCTAAATTAGTTGTTAAGGTTGTGTTTATGTTGTTGCTATCTAGTTTTTGACCTGAATTAAAGCCTTGTAGTTTTTTTTTTTCATTGATCCTCTTAATGGTGTACAGGAGGACGAGCAATTCAAGAAACTCGCTAAGCTGATGAATGGAGGGCTAAAGAATTACCTATGATGTGTTGTATTCACTTGTCGCATAAAATGATGGGACTGTTGTTGGTTTTGGTAACTTGTAAATTATTTCCAAAAGTTCTTATATACTTGTAAATTATTTCTATAAGTTCTTGTATACTTGTAAACTATTTCTATAAGTTCTTATATACTTGTAAATTATTATTCTTCTTATTTACTTGTAAATGTTACTCACTATGTAGTAAGTTACTACTAGTGTTTCAATAATAATATAAGTTTTATGTAAATTTATTTAATTGTTTGATTTTGTGATTTTACAATTTCTTTCCATTTTTAGTAGAATAATTACAAAATAATAAATATATATCATCAAATTTTTATTTTTTTTTAAAAAAAAAGAATAAAGAGACCTGTTATCTAATGTAATAGGTCTCTTAATGGATATCAAAGAGACCTGTTGCGTTAAATAACAGGTCTCTTCCCCTTCTTAAATATGTGATGCAATCACATGCAAAGAGACCTGTTAACTTCTTAAACAGATCTCTTATTTATTACAAAGAGACCTGTGAGCTAGAGACCTCCTCTAAACAGGTCTCTTATGTCATTTACAACAGGTCTCTTTGGCCTTTTTTGTAGCAGTGCTTGTTAGATTCGTCTTGATTTATACTATTTTAATATAAAATATTTATAATTTTTACATATTGGTAATTAAAGATATTAACGATTAAAATAATATATATGCGAATGTGAAAAAAGAGAAGTGTTGCAAGTAATACATAGATTTTATTTTGAAAAACAAGTTTTATAAATTGAGATTTGCCAAAGCTTAGTGGAAAAAAAATTCATACGTAGTATGGAGTACATATTACTTTCAAACAACCACAAGTGTATGGGAAAATATAGCATTTAAAAATAACACAACCAAAGTTACCAGAAAAACAACATATAGCCAAATAGGGGCTAGAATTGGATGGAGCAAATTTCCCACAATTCCTGTAATGTCGCCAACCAAATGGATTTTGTAAAAAAAAAAAAAAAAAAAAAAAAAAAAAAAAAAAAAAAAAAAAAACTCTTTCCTTTCAATTCCAGTTTTTTTCTTTCTCCAAAAGCATTTTTATTATTTTTGAGGCCTCTTTCAATTTGAGGCTCTCCTGCCTTCAACCACCCAAAAATAAAAAACACACAAAATTGAAGAAAAAACAAGGCAAATCTTACAAAAAATAAAAAAAAAATAAAAAAAAATGATCAAATCAATGCATTGGATGAATAAAAAAACAGCAAAAAACATTCACAAATTAGAGCAAAAACTAAAAATTGTAGAAGGTCCTAGATCATTACCTTCTTCTTCCTCCAACAACATTTTACATATTTTTGGCTAGAAGATTAAATGGCCATTACATCATACCAAATTTTGAAGCCACATTTTTTATTACCATATTTTCTTTTCATCACCTTATTTTCTTCAAGAACACATTCCATATCCGATGTAGAAGCCTTATTAAAGTTTAAAAGCTCGTTATCGACACCCGAAGCTCTCAACACATGGGATCCAAACACCGGCCCTTGCCTAGACAAGAACGCACGTTGGAATGGCATTGTTTGTTTGGATGGCAGTGTCATTGGCCTACACTTAAAATCCAAGGGATTATCCGGCAACATCGACGTTGATGCATTGGCTAGCCTACAAGGCTTACGCACTATTAGCTTGGAGGACAACAAGTTTTCCGGCCCCATGCCCGAGCTTAATCGCTTAGGAGCCTTAAAGGCGATATACTTAAATAACAACAACTTTACCGGACAAATTTCTCCGGATTTTTTCTTAAAGATGGAGTCACTAAAGAAACTTTGGTTAGCTAATAATGCGTTCTCGGGTGATATTCCATCGTCGTTAACACAACTACGTAACCTCCTTGTGTTGCGCCTCGAAAACAACCAGTTTTCGGGTGAGATACCCCCTCTTAAGCAACCGCCTTTGGTATCTTTAAACTTGTCAAACAACCAACTACGAGGCGAAATTCCTATGAGTCTTTTACATTTTAAGGCCTCATCCTTTGAAGGAAATCCCAAGCTTTGCGGTGAGGTTATTGGGGTAGATTGCATTACCATAATTAGTAACAATAATCAGTCAATATCACAAAACTCGACGGCACCTCAAGGCGGGTTTAGTAATTTTAATAAACCTCACAATAATAAACACTTTGCCGGGGTGATGGCCTTGGCTATTAGTGTTATTTTGGTGCTTTTGTCGTTTATGATTATCTTGATTTTTGTTATGAAGAAGAGAAGGGTGTATAAAGATGATATCCCTAATACAACACCCCAAAATAATGATGACACCAATTCTATTGCGACGACCTCAACCACCACCACACCTAACACGAGAAGCAAAGACGGTATCAATGAGAGGGCGATAGAGGTAGGCGCCGTGGAACCCATTTTGCAAAAGAATTCAAGCCATTCTTCTTCTACTCATTCTTCTACGTCGAGTAAGAGGAGCAACAACTCGGAAAGATCATCAAGAAAAAGCTCGGGAAAAGGTAGTAGCAATCGCGGAGTGCCTAATAGTGTAGGTGGTTTAGGCCAAGGAGATCTTACAATGGTGAATGATGAAAAAGGTGTGATTGTGTTGGCGGATTTGATGAAAGCATCGGCAGAAGTGCTAGGAAATGGCGGTATAGGTTCGGCCTATAAGGCGATCATGGGTAATGGATTAGGGGTAGTAGTTAAGAGGATGCGCGAGCTAAATAGATTGGAGAGTGATGCATTTGATGTGGAGATTAGGAAGTTGGCTAGTTTGAGACATAGGAATATTTTGCCTCCTTTGGCTTATCATTATAGGAAAGACGAGAAGCTTGTTGTTTATGAGTACGTTGCCAAAGGCAGCTTGCATTATCTTCTACATGGTAAGTAAGGTTCTTTTACCCAAGTTAATTAGGTAATTTGATGAAATTTTCGTATTTAATTATGAATATCACCCTTTATAATTCCAATGTGTAAATGGGAGAAAGTACAAGTTTATCTTCGTGACAAACAAAAATATGTTTATCTCATGGCATTTTTGTAAATGAATCAACAACTTTTTATTAGACGTGGGCCTAATAATGTTGATTTATTTACAGAAATGTCATATTAACGGAGACTTTATGTTGATTTATTTACAGAAGTACCATTAAATAAACATTATTTGTTTATCATAATAATAAAATGGGGCTTCCTCGTGTAAAGGGTATGAAGAAAATATTACAAACCAAGAATGTTTTGCTTAATAATGTAGACTACCCAATAATTTTTTTTGAAAGAAAAAATTTCACCAATTGAATTATCATATTAATCATAATTGTTCCTCTTATAACATTTCGATGAATACATGTGTAGGTTGTTGAATAAAATAGTTTGGTTGTCCAATTTAAAAAGGGAGCTAAAAATTACGAAAAAACGATTTCTAAAATTTACGTTAGATTATGTTCTTTTAAAAACCGAAAGTTTATATAATTGGGTGCATAATTTTTTAGTTGGGATTAATTTTTAGCACATAGTTTCTTCTAAAATGTAAGCATTATTTGGTTTTTTTTGAGCTTCTATAGGTGATCGAGGAATATCTCACGAGGAACTAAATTGGCCAACACGTCTAAAGATCATCAGAGGAACAACAGAAGGCCTATATTACCTCCACTCTCAACTACAATCCTATGACTTGCCTCATGGCAACCTTAAATCCAGCAACATTTTGATTGACACACAAAATGAGCCATTGCTCTCGGATTATGGCTTTAGTCCAATGACTAATCCAAGTGTCGCGGCACAAGCATTATTTGGCTATCGAGCCCCAGAAGCCATACAACACCAAACAATATCTCCTACGTGTGATATCTACTGCCTAGGAGTAGTCATTCTCGAGATCCTCACGTGCAAATTCCCTTCTCAATACCTTAGCACAACCAAGGGTGGCACTGATGTTGTGCAATGGGTGACTTCGGCCATAGAAGAAGGTAGAGAAGTTGAACTGCTTGATCCTGATATTGTGTCACATTCGACGAGTTGTAAGGAGAGCATGGTGAAGATGCTTCACGTAGGGGTTGCTTGCACTGAACCTAATCGCGATAAAAGGCTGAATTTGACAGAAGTAAGGGAGAGAATAGAAAGGGTATGAGTTCAAGATGATGGAGGTCTAGATCTAAAGACTATTGATCTTTTGTAAAGTTACTGATATCTTATGACCCTGTAGAAGTTGTGTTTTATGCAAAATTCATTTGACCTTATGGATTTGTACCTTACATCTTTACTCAAATCGACATTGATCTCGTGCTCTTTGAGTATCATGATGTAACTGTAGACAACTGTATCGAAAACAGTTCAAAGGGAAGCTCGGTACATACAGTTCAGAAGATTTCTAATTCAACTCAACATCTAGGTGTAATTTGTTGTTGTATCATCTATAATTTGTATACCAAGATATCATCAAATTCTTTTTTGTAACACGAATCATGTTACAAAACTCGTTATCTTTATATACCAGTTTGGTTAATCAACCAACAAAAATACATGCATTTGTGATTTATCTCCACTGTCATATTTTTACATACAAACGTCGCCATGTTTAGTACATAAAATCTGTTTACATGAACTAAAATTATTTTTCTGAATAGATGGTATAGCCTTAGTGCTGCTGATGGTCTGGTGCCCAAGGAATAGACTTTAACCATTGTGGGCCTAATGGGCTTAATTATTGAGTTTTATGGGCTTTTTGACGAAAGGAGCTACATTGGGCTACAGGCCTACTAACTTAATTGACAATGTTGGGCCTTTTGACTGGACTTATTGGGCTTGCAGTTTACACTTGACAGGTCGAAAACTTTTAAATATTACAAATTAATTAATCAGAAAAGCTTAGCACATAAATTGTTTAGCAAATTCAATAATACAATCTGTAATACTATTATGAAACATTAAAACAGCTGAATGATTAACAACTAACATAGCTTTCTCCAAAAATAAAAAAATAAAAAATAAAAAATAAAAATAAAGAATCATCATTAGAAGCAAGAAAAATTACGAAATATCTTTAATTAGCATACAAGATTCACATACATTAATTTAGGAATTGAGCAAAATTAATGCATAATGCTAGTTGATTGAGGATATGATACAAATGGTATCATAAGGAGTAAATTATATTTGATAGAGTATATAAACCAATGCTGAGTTTCAACCATCAACTTAAACTTTTGGTTGAATTGGTCCTTTAACTACCGAAATATTTTTTAAAGCATCATCCATTAATAAATAGACTTTGCGAAGAACTACCCGGCTATACTTGATTTGCATAAGCAAAAATCACACGATAATGTTTTTAGGCATTGTATGCACATAGATTTAAAATTGATCAACGGTTTTAAGCTAACATCATCTCTATAATTGTTTACTTCTATAATTTCTATAACTGATAAGGGCCGGGATATAATATTATCATATCAACTAACATACAAAACCCAAAATTATCAAATAGTAGCTGTTTATGCTCTCCAACTACGTATCATACATATAATTAAATTGGAAATCGAAAATATAATTGCTCACTAATGAGTTGTAAAATACTCTAAAATCTATTAATATTATAAAAACAATATAACTAACTTCTATATATATTTTTTAATATATGGTGTCAAGTTGTCTCTTCAAGATGAGCAACTAACAACAAGCTTGTACTCTTGTAATAAGTTGTGACTTGGAATATAAACTACCATAAAAAATATATTGCATTACTAGGGATAGACAATCCTCTAAATTTTTAATGTTGCCCACCTTCTCATGATCCACCCGTGCAACATTGATTTTTAATTAAGCAATAACTATATCACCTTCTAGATACATCTTCATCTTATTTCTTTTTTGTAGTACCAATTTTTTATATATATATATGTTAAGATAACACACTCTAATGTTCCGTATTCAATGTGGGTGACATTTTAAGTGAAATCTAGGATTTTAATAAAGGTTGATACTATCACTTTGTAAGATACAACTGTACAAAAACTTACTAATTTTATTATAGATCCAATGGTTATTATTTAATCAATGTTATCTTATTGATTATAATGAGAAAAAACCGTCTAATGAGTAAGTGAGTTGTACGTTAATTTTAACACTCCCTTTGTTTATATCTTTAAATAATATTTTATAAAATATATTTATGTTTGTGTGGTCGAAAGTACTGAATTTTATTCCTTTGTTAAAATTTTATAAAAATTACAATTAAATGTTAAATATGACACCTAGCTATTATATAAAGACAGAGATAATACTATAATACTTTGTAGTATACAATTTCATTCATATACGTTTTATTTTATAATTTTAGGACTTATACATGATTAAAAAATCTAGATTATGTAACTTAAATTACCAATTAGAGTTTTTTAGGTTTATTTTTATTTTGTTACCGGAGTACTTGAAATGAAATTAAATACGAGTACTTGATATTCCTAAATCTTGTAGTGTATTATTATGATCGAAAATGATAATTGTTGAGATAGACATTATTTGGGTACGTGAAAAGCATGCATGCATGCACGTGGATGTCGGCTTAATTAGGCTGGATATTACGAGTAGTTGACTTCAATAAATACATCATTCAGATTTTGTCATTAAGCTAAGCTGGTTATTTGTATGTCTTCGAGGTAACATATCAAAGACAAAACCTCAATTCTATAACAATTTTTTACGCATGGTTAATCAGATCAGCCACTTATATCGCTGATAAATAAATAGCCATTGAGCGGTTGAGCCAATAGATCGATTGATCAATACAAGCCCATATAACAATGTCCAGCCTCGTAGCTGGCTTTATACTATGGGCCTAGCTAGTATTAGCTCATTTTTTTAATGTTACGATTAAGTCATAGCGTTTTCAAAAAACACATGTAAGTTCTCAAAAAATATAAATGTAAGTGTATATTTTATAGGCTAAAAGGCTACTCCGATCCTTAAATAGTCATATAATTTTGGGATGAAATCCTTCAACTTGTAAAGTGAACTCTCTCTATTAACGAGTACGGCTCACATTTGTGTTTAACAGTCATTAAGGTGAAGATACCAGGGTCTAATTGTCTTAGTTTTATTTATCTCAAAATATTAAGTTTTAATAATTTGTAATTATAAAGTACAAATGTTTTTATTGATTATAATGTCCTTTTCATTCGCTTTATCCTCTATATATAAGTTGTTTAGTTGACATAAATCAAAGTTTAGGAAAATAGAAAGTCTTTTAATTTGTTGTCTACAAAAATGGAGATTAATAAATACTTCGCACTTCATTTCTTCATTACGAGGATCTCCTACTTTAATCAATTCGTATTTTTAATCTAATTAAAAAATTATGGTTCATAAATAGTAAAGTTCACAAACGACCATTTAAAATTCAATGTAAAAAATGTGATCGAAGGGAGTATTATTGATCGAATGAGTAATAAGTAATAACCCTTGCGAATTTAGAATTTTTTGTCATCCCCAAAGGGATTGGTACCCAAAAATAAAGTAAATCACCAAACAGGCAAACACTATACATAATTAAAGTTGATGTGCGTGTGAAGTAGAGCTTAGCAGTGTCTAGTGATGATAGTACGCAAAAAATAATGCACCTTGGGAGTGCTGGCTCCACAGCAAAATCTAGCTGGCTTAACCCAATTAACCATTTCTTCGAGGATTTTTATATAATTCCTTCAGGATTCTCTATTATGTAAGTTTGTCCATTTTCTTAATCTTTGCAATATTTATGATTTCTTTATTTATGATGTACTACAACACACCCGGTTATTGGCTCTACATCATTTTCCACCAAGCCAATTGCTAGCTATAGCTATGAAAGCTATCCACTATACAATGTGTCCGCAAATAATTCATACTACATAAGTACTCCGTATTTCATTGGTTTTAACTTTTAAGGGTTCTTTCTAGTTTCCTTGTTGAGGAAAAAACACATCCATTTATTGGCTACATCATTTTTCCAACAAAGGGCTAGCCAAAGCTTCTACTACGGTCCTGTTTGGCGGTAGTATCTAAAGTAGTAGTTAGCGTTTTAACTAGTCAAAACACTATTAGAAAAAAGTGAAAGTGTTTGTCAAGGTAGCGGTTTGAGTATTGGTAGAGGTAGCATTTAAGTAACTTTTTTCAAACATTAAAAAATAGTAGCGTTTAGAAGTAGCGAGTAACGTTTGTTAATTTTTTAATTTGTTACTTTTTAAATAATATATATATATATATGATTTTTGATATATTTTAGTATTTCAACCACTACTTTTACCAAACACTCATACTATCAACTGTTACTTTGACAGCTAACCTACCCACTACTAATTGACAGCTACTCGTTACCCTAATAGCTACCCGCTACTCGCTACCCTAATAGCTACCCGCTACTCGACCGCTACAAGCTACCCCTTACCGCTAGTTTTACCAAATATGACCTACATATTTCAGCACATATTTACAAAATACAAGTACTTTCTTTGTTTTAAGACGATAAAACTCCATTAATAACATCTTGATTAATTAACAATTATTTCATACTATACATAGACAATGAATGCATAACTGGAAATTTGGAAATGCTATAACCTTTATTAGTGGTATTAGAATAATTATTGTATGGATGAACCATTATTTTCTTCCCTCACAATGAAATCGTATTTTTACTAATAACCTTTTTAGAGGGTAGTTATTAATTATAATGATAATGATAATGATAATGATATGACTGGGACCAACAAAATTAATTATAGTGGTTGTATGACTTTACCTTGTCTTGTAGCTTAGCTTAGCTTGTTTGCCCCTTTTTTTCAATTCATTAACTCATATTGGCCAGTATAATCCAAACAATATGTAGTTTAAGTCAAAATTTTAAAAATCTCAAATATTGATCATTTCGGATGAGGCAACTTTCTAAAATTACGACCTCCAACAACTAACCTATATGTTGTTATAAGTAGTTATAATCATAGGCGCACTGCCATTTGCTTTAAATTTAATATAGAATCTTCGTCGTATAATCGCTTGTAGCTTGCATGGTGTACAATTAAAGTTATGACTACTTGGTCAAATAAATAGTATTAGTTGTATGTTTATACCATATATAAGGTATATGTGTATAATTAACCAGTTATACATTTTTTTTAGAACAACCAGTTATACACTTATACATAGAATAATATATAAATATAATTGTAATTAATTAAACAAATGAAAACCATTCGTTTTACGTTTTTTCCTACCACAGAGGACTTCATACATACCTATTTACGAGTTAAGTAAATAAAAGGAAAAGATTTTCAAATTTTTTTATTCATTTTGTACTAGTGGATTAACTATTAGTGTCTTTTTAATCCCAAACTATCATTAACTTGTACTGCTTACTTTTCTTCTTGAATTTGTTACTGAAATATCAACGAAATATAGTTGAT